AAACTCCATAAAGAAGGTGTTTGGATGCCTCACAAACTCTCCGATGATCATTGTTTCCAACATGTGAACGTTGCTTTGTCTCTTTTGGCGCGTAATGTGTGTGAACCATTTTTGGACATAATTGTCACCGGCGGTGAAAAATGGATTCTCTATGCAAATATTAAATGCCAAAAACAATGGCTCAGTTCTACACAAAAACCACTTCCGACCCCAAAACCTGAACTCCATCCCCAGAAAGTGATGCTTTGCATTTCATGGGACATCAAAGGAGTAATTTATTTCGAACTCCTCAATCCACAGCGAACTATCAATGCAGAGATCTATAGTCAGGAACTGGAATGTTTAAATCAAGACTATCATCAGAAACGCCCTTCACTCGTCAGTCGGAAAGGTGTTCTTCTTCTCCACAACAATGCATGTCCACATGTGGCAAGTTTGATGCAACACAATATTATGGAGTTGGATTGGTAAGTTTTCCCCCACCCACCATATTCACCAGATATGTCACCATCAGATTACCATTATTTTCGTTTGCTGCAACACTATCTTAATGGGAAAATGTATGCAACTGTGGAAGGTGTTAAAGAGGATATTGACATGTTTTTTGCTTCAAAGCCAAGTGATTTATTTAATCAGGGCATTAACAACCTGATTGTAAGATGGAAAAAGCTTCATCGATAAGAATGGAGACTTTCATTTACTAAATGTTTTGTTTTAATATATACGTTTTTGGGTTTTTTCATCTAAAAAAAAGTGACATTAATTTCTTGACGACCTAATATGTCTTTCACAACTGAGAATCAGGGTAAGGATTAATAGCACAATATTGTATATTTATTTATTTATTTTTAACACTGAATGTTTATTATTTTTTATGAATTAACTTTACTATCACTCAGAAGAACTGGCAAACCAGTAAGGTAGTCTTGTTGTTCCCAAAGTGGGTCAAACAATCATAATGTCAGTAGGGAAAAACTACATTAGTAATTATAAAAATTATGAATGAAAGCAAAGAAGGATGTATAAAAATGAAACATAATAAACTTGAAAACTTTTTCCAAGGTATCAGAAGAACAACATGCATTTTGAATGTTTTGTAATAGCTTAAATTTTTGTATTTTTGAGTTTAAATGAAATTAAGGTTAACATTAAAATTAAAAAGGAAAAATTATATTTTCAAGATATTAAATGTGTATTAAAACTTACATGTGAACTAAACAATATACAGAAAAAAACTGGAAAACATTTTCCCCCAAAATACTTTTCTCCTAAGGCTTAGTATTTGATCTAATTCAACTTTTATTAAGTAGTGATGGAAAGGGTGTTATTGAGCAAGACTGGTAAAGACTTAATGAAATTATCTTAGAATAAGTAGATAAAAAATATAAAGGCGTAACTCTCAGAAAATCCAAGACTGTGTAAAACAAGGAACACAAATATCATGACTATTAATGTGATGCATTCAATCAGCTATGTCTCTATATTCTTTTTTAAATATGTAACAAAACACTCAGATGAGAAAGTTTGAAAGGATGGGATAGTTGGGTGTTGAGCATAAATGTCCAGGAACAATGAATCAAAACTCAAAACTACTTTCAAAAAGCAACTGACTATAGTACTATATTATAAATCATATTTAGTCAATCCAAGCAAGAGTATCTAAAGTACTGTATCACCAGATTTATACAGAATTTCACATCTATTAGCAATTCAAACAAAATCCTGATTTTTAAGTTTTGTGTGAAGTTGCACCCTGAAACATAGCCTTAGGCTTTATTTTGAAACACTTACTAAGCTCTGACCTATTAGTAACCCTAAATGTTAAATAATAACTGTTAATATTAAACAGCAATGCTGTATACTACTACTAAACCAAAAGAAAAATATTAAAAATATAGTTGGAACATAGGGTTGAATTTAAAATACAACAAAAGAAGCTAAGACCAACCAGATAAGAAGTAACAGAAGAAAATGTTAAATTAGCAAAGGCTGAAAAATGAGAGAAGAAGAAAACATTTGGAAAAGAACTTGGTGAAAGGAGGTGATAGGTGAACATTTGTGCATGTAAGTAGAATTGTATATGCTAATTAGGCAGACAAGTTAACTAAAAATATAGAGAATCAAACTTAAGTGAAAATTGCAAATAAACTGCAAAGAAGTTTAAAATGTTAAAAGAAATGTGAAAAAGTTTAATGTTTAAAAGTGTTACAGAATTCTCAAACTGTTTGAGAATATACCACACCAATTAATAACTGTAAATGAACTCTAAGACTTATAAAAAGAGTACATAAAAGAAAGTTTGGGCACTGTGCACCATTTCTGGACGTTCACACTAGTTTGAAATACATGATAGATTTCCAGATAAGTTCAACAAAATACACCTTCTGCAGTTAATGAAGAATTGTTCTTTTCTCCTTTCTGTGTCATGTCAGGAATTTCTGTATTAAAAAGTACTTGAGGAACTCGTGAGATATAATAATCATTCATTTTGGACATTTTCTTGGAAAATGGTAAAAATATACAAATAAATTCAACTTCTTTCCCTTTCATTCTCTGTACACTAAAAATGATTGCAGTTTCAGTCACTGAATCCAATATTTTAATGAATAAACATCAAGATGGTATTTCATGGGCATCACAAACATGTCACACCAAGTCATCCACAGACCTAAGAAAATACCTTTATCAGTTAAATTAACTTGCATCAACTTATTCTTTCTCATTGTAGTGTATCACAGGAGTTCTTCACACATTACTTTAGTGCAAAATAATCATAAGAACATTTTGGAAAATAAGGATTGTTCAGTTTACTTTTCATGGTGAACAGCTGAGCTTTCCATATGGTCTTGGCTGCTTTGTTTTTTGCTTCAGCAGTTCTATTGCTAATCCTCTTGCTAAAAGCTCGGCTGAGTTCATGATCCCAAATTAATCTTATAGTTTCCAATACTATAGCTTCTAATATGTTTTATGTATCTTCATGAAATTTCACTAGCTTTAAGAAAACATTAAGAGTCTTTTGTAGACAAAAAATCAGAAATTTAATAAAGTATTTTTATTAAATATTTCTCTGTAAATATATGAAATCAAATTGTTGACTGCTCTGAACACAAAGTGCTTCATGTTAAAAATACTTCATCTGAAAAACCTCAAATTTCGTTTCTGTAATCTCAAAACATCCTAAATATATTTTGAATATTTTTTACAGTAAAACGTTATTTTCTCTACCATATCTTTACACAAAGCTGGTCAATTTAACAGACTTTGTAACCCAAAAAAAATCTAAATAACCTTTTTTCATTCTAGAATGAGTTCAGATTATAACATGAAACTATATTTGTTTATCCTAAATAACTTTAAACTTGTAGCAGTATACATTTGTTTCTACTTGAATTTTATTGTTTTATTGCTCTTTCAACTGTGTCTAACTAATATTCCTGCCACACAAGTTGCTTGCAAATGTACCTTATGACAGTTTTTAATTACTTGTTTTTATTTTACCTAATCTTACCTAAAACGTTTCTAATTTGTACATTTTAATTACTTGTATAGTAATAAATAAAGAATATAAATGAAAAACAAGAAATATAGTACTTACCTCTTTTTTTTTGCTGTCAACTATCAATGCACCTTAACTTACTTTTTTATACTAATGGTACTATAACAATAAATATATTTTTATTTAATTAAAAAGTGCACCAATGAATACAGAATAATAATGTACAAAAAGCAGGTAGTGTCTTAAAACTATCACAATTTTTCTGGCTTTCTAATTATTCCAAAAGAGCTCTAAAAAATTCATCTAAGCTCATTGATGTGTTTCTTGTGGGAATAAAGCTTAAACTGAAAGTGAACTACACAATTTTCTTTACAGAAAACAATGTAATATAAAATGTCATTTGATAGATTAAAACTTTGGCTTTCTATTGGTTATAAATAATATAGTATTAAACATCAATGAGAACTATTGGCAATTTTGTGAAAGAGATGATGTCACAGGTGGACATGGTAAGATGAGTCTGATTTATGGCTCTGTAACCAAATAAGATTGAAAACTACAAAACTTATGCTTTCCATAAGTAATGACAATATTATGAGTAACTTAGGTTAAATATTGTATTTCTCGAAGGGGTGGTAAATTTATTAGAGAAGAGGAGATACCTAGAAAGCAAATGTCATAATTCTCATACTAGGGAAAATTTAAGACTTTTTTTATTATTGCATTATACAATTAAGAAATCATAACTTATATAATACTAAGAGTTGGATTATTAGCTATGTTTTGATGCGAAGTTTATTTGTATACCATGATAATAAAGTACTTTAAATTTTGAATGTAATTAAGTAAAACCTTGTGACATATGTGGAAAAGGATGTTTGTATGGAAAGAGTTACAGTGATAACATTTTGAATTCTTTTCAAAACTCTTACCTTATCTCATAGATTTAACTTTTGTTGTTGTTTTTCTTCTTCAAAACCATTAAAAGTATTTTATTTTAAAAAGCATTATGATACAGATTTTACTGCAGCTGCTTTCTCTTCCTACAAATTACCACCTATTATTAGAAAACCTATTTCAGATTGAAAAATGTGCAGTATTAAATGTTGCTTTAAAATACATATTTATGAAGTGTGACGGTTGATGATACTGATTGTAGATTATCAAACAATTTTTATTGAATTGAATGTATTTTATTTCTACAGAAATTGTCGTTCATAATTAGATGTTACAATTGGAAACCAAATCACTGAATGGAGAAACATTTTGTAAATATATAGATGCTTCTAAACCAGAAAAAATGGTTTCAGCTGGTAAGCTGTGAATAAAAGATCAGAGTGAGAATTTTGATTATACAATATATTTGTTAAAGGTATTCTGATTTTATATGTAAATAGTTATATTTATCTTCATATATGTTTTTCTTTTTGTGCACAACTAATGCTGAAAAGACATCTTTGCAAAAATAAGGTTTTTATTTCCTTAAAAAATACAAGTAAAGAAAGATATTTAGGCTATTATCGGGGGGGGGGGGTAATCGTTCTCTGGCATAAAAGTAAACCTAAGGTTCATTGTGTTAGTGAAATGGAAAAATAAATATTAATATTATATTGTAAGGATCAAAAGATTTTCATTCAACATACTTACGAAAATGTAAAAGTAATGATAAAAAGTCATGTATTTCAATTTATTATCTTAATAATATGTACTGTTCATGACATTTAAAAAATTCCATATTTTTAGAGGTTATTTTGTTAGAAATAATACATCCAATTGACATTGAGGAAGCAAGGCTACAAATATTGTATATAGCACTTAAAAAGTGTCCCATAAGATGATTTATAAAGCTTCAGCAAACACTCTTATAAAGTTTTTGTGAAGAAAGCAATATATTATACATTATAGCTGAAATATATATTTTTTTCACTCTTCTATAAGTTGCATAGAATATATCCTTATTCAAGTGTGTTAAAATAATTTTTATAAATTTCCATACCCTTTCTGAATGTAGTTACTTAGTCCCATCCATAATTATCAAATGTTGCACGATTGAAAACATATACTAATCCTTTTACACAGGTAAAGGTTATATGCTTTAACTTTTGTAAGTCTCAAGCTAGCATGTATTGATTTCTGTGTGGACTCCTAGGAATGTGGCCTATTTAAACAGGTGATACAGAAACTTCCAATTGGCTTGAAATAATTATAATTGTAATTTGGCTAGTGGTTGAAGTATGTAATCTAAGATTATGTGGTACCACCCTCTGGCCTGTCTGTCTATACACCTGGAAAAAGTTAAGCACCCCCAAATATTTTTCAGGATTGCTTATTGAAAATAAGGTTTAATTTTCATGATGTTGAGCAATG